TGCCTAGCATCAGGGACAGTGATTCCTATGTGGGACTCAACCTAGGGTGGGATTGTGGATTCCGTTCTTGACTATGTAGCCTCAAGGCTGTTCAGTGGCTTTCCTGAAATAAAGGGAGATCCCTGTTCTCTCTCCCTCCCTCCCACCCTCCCACACTCCCCCTCTTCCTCTCTCTCTGTCTGTCTGTCTCTCTCTCTATACACATATATCTTCATTTACTGAATTTTTGAAATTTACGTTTCAATTACAACAATTTGGAATCCCTTGTTCGCACTAAGTAGTGAGTGAGAAATCCATGTAGGAAATAGTTTCAGAGAGCAAGGATTCATATTTTTCCCAGTTTTATTGAGATATAATTGACATATAACACTGTGTAAGTTTAAGGTGTATAACTTGTTGACTTGATACATTTACATATTGTGAAATGATTACCACCAAAGAGTTAGCTAACACCAGCATCACGTCACATAATTCACCATTTCTTTTTTGTGGCGAGAACATTTAAGATCTACTCAGCAACTCAGAGATTTTCTTTAGGCTGAGCTGATAGCCACTTCCTAAATCTTCGAGCCGGCTACACCCCATGGTAGAGAAAACAACATCTATCTCCCAGCTTACTCTTGCCTTTTTCTTCCAAGGAAAAAACATTTAAATGTGGATTTAAGACCCCTCCCTAACCTGAATGCTCACTGATCATCGGCATCAGTGGTTCCCAATCTGGCTGAGCACCAGGACTGCTGATGGGCTTGTTACAAAATACTCAGGCCTCTCCCCAGACCCACCATCTCAGAATATTGGACACAGAGCCCAAGAATCCCTTATTTAACAAGCCCTACATCTGAGGCTGATGCACAGCCATGTGAGAATCCTGGTCTATGTTCTTGCTACTAAATGTGTGCTCTGAAGACCAGCAGCATCAGCACCAAACTGGTTATAAATGCATAATCTCACACTCTACTCCAGACCGTCTACATCATAACGAGTTGTCCAGGGGATTCCTGTGTACAGGAAATTTGGGACTCCCTGGTCTCCAACCCTTCTAGAGGCAGTGTCAGAACTGTGCAGTCTGCCCTGGGTATGTGGACTGACCAGATCCCTTAGCACTCAGGGGTCCAGAGTTCTGTCCTTGTTCTTTTCTTTTCCACAGTCATCACTCCCTTGGTGAACTCATCCATTCTCAAGGCTTTAAATATCATTTATAGGGTGTCACCTCCAAAATCTATTTCTTCAGCCCAGACATCTCACCTACTCTCCAGACTTATATATCCAACTGCTAACCTCACCTGCATTTCTAATAAACATCTCAAATTCAATATTTCCTAAATTGGATGCCATAATGCCACTTCCTCAAATATGCTTCTTCTGGAGTCTTCCCCATTTCCACTGAAGGCATTCCATCTTTATACTTCCACAGTCTGAAATTTGGGGTGTCCTCCTTGATTCCTCTTTCTCATACCCCAGACTTAATCCATTAAAAATTCTATAAAGTTCATCTTTAAATATATCCAGAATCCAATCACTTTGTATTATTTTCCATGCTATAATAACTTTCCAGACAAAGCAAGCAACATCTCTAGCCTGGACCACGGCACTAGTTTCCTACAGTTTTCTCTACTGCATCGCTCATTCTTCACCTCTCGAATCTGTTCTCAGCACAGCAGCCACACCTTCTCAAGAGAAGTCATATCAGACCAATCTTCTGTTAAAAACTGTCTTGTAACTACACATCTCACTCAGAAAAGTCAGACCCTTCCAATATCCTTGTGCTCTACATGATCTGCAGGTAGATGGACCTCAATTACTCTCTGCTTCAGCCATACCAGACTCGCTCTTCCTTGAACAGACAAAACACTCCTGCCCTAGTGCATTTGTACTAGAGATTCCTCTGCCCATAAAGAACTTCCCCCAGACAGTCTCACGGACAATTACTTCATGTCTTTCAAATCTTTCTCAAAGCTCACCTTCCCAATGAGGCCCACGCTGACCACCCATGTAAAACAGTCATCTTCCCTGTCCCCACACATTTATACCCTGGGTCACCTTCCTCAAAGCACTTACAACATTTTTTTTTTTTTGTGAGGATGATCGGCCCTGAGCTAACATCTGCTAATCCTCCTCTTTTTGCTGAGGAAGACTGGCCCTGGGCTAACATCCATGCCCATCTTCCTCTACTTTATATGAGATGCCGCCACAGCATGGCTTGGCAAGCGGTAGATCGGTGCGCGCCCAGGATCCGAACCGGCGAACCCCGGGCCGCCGCAGCAGAAGGCGTGCACTTAACCGCTCGTGCCACCCGGCTGGCCCCTTACAACTTCTAACATAAATACTTCCCTTGTTTACTATGCTTATAGCATACAGTCTGCCCCTTACCACTAGAACACATGCTCCCCAAGGCTGGCAATTATTGCCTATTTTTAATTCACTGAGGTTTCCCAGATGCAAACATAATTCGTCATATATCTGGCAGATCAGTTGAATGAATGATCAGCGTAGAGCACCTCCCTATTCTAGAGACAGTATCTTTATTAATGTAACCTCAGACCACATGCTGTTTTGTGGCAGCTACAGCACAACGTCCACTCACACTGACATCAATGCTGCCTGTACTTTTCTCACAAGTGCTGCTCTCCCTCCCTCCCTCCAACTCTCCCACCCACACCAACCCTCCTACATACTACAGCAGACAATTATATTACTCTCTCCAGAAAAGATGGGCTATGGGTCCTATTTTCCAACCAATTATTAATCTAAATTAGACTCTGCTTTATAAATCCCTGAGTTTGGATCAGAGCCAGCACTAGGATTACTACAGGTAAGGGCAGAAAGAGGGGGCAGGCCACAGAGAAAATACAAACTCAACCAGAATTTAATTAAGGTGAGAAACTATCGGATCCCTCCTCCCTCTAACTCTAGAATCTGGTCTTTAAAAAATATGAGGAATGGGGCTGGCCCCGTGGCATAGCAGTTAAGTTCACACGCTCCGCTTTGGCAGCCTGGGGTTCATGGGTTCGGATCCCGGGTGTGGGCCTACGCACTGCTTATCAAGCCATGCTGTGGCAGTGTCCCATATAAACTAGAGAAAGATGGGCACAGATGTTAGCCCAGGGCCAATCTTCCTCAGCAAAAAAAGAGAAGGATTGGCAACAGATGTTAGCTCAGGGCTAATCTTCCTCAAAAAAAAAAAATATATATATATATATATGGGGAAAGAGGGAAAGAATAATCCAGAAAATAGCGCTAGAAGGAGGACAGAGCTGGACAAGTCTGAAAATTCATCTCTGGACACCACAGACGCCTGTGTGCAAGGGCTGCCTGGGCCTTATGGGGACAATGATAGGCCAAAGGACTCCTGGTGCTGCTGTCAGAGACGGGGACACTCAGAGGAGAATGAGACCAGAACTCTAAACGTGAACGAGAACAGACATAATAAAAAGAAAACCCCAAAGAAACAAAACATAAACACACAAAATGTAGGGGCTGAGGGCCAGACCCTGGCCTGAGCCTAGGCTGACCCAGTTACATGAAGCCCTCTCTGCCCATGGTCTTGAAGACAGGACACTGCGCAGGTGACATCCTCATCCCTCTGATCATAGGTCCTGGTGGGACAAGGTTCTACTGAAGGGCGTAGAACAAAGGAGCAGCAAAGATGACCCAGCCAAGGAATGACAACATCAAAGCCCACGATGCACTGAGCACTGAGTGGGCACAGGCCCCACTCACCTTTGGCTCCTCACAGCCCTCTCCTGTCCCTACCTGCAAAAGATTCAGCACAACAAACACACTAATTCTGGAAGGTTCTTGATGCTTCTATTTATTTCATCTCTCAAACTTTAGGAATCTTCTCCTTTAATTAACACATCAATCCCTTAGACAAAAATTTAAAAAAAAAATTCATATTCAGATTCATATTTTTGGTAAGGAAGCAAGTCATTACTGCTCAGTGCAACATGAAGTTAAGACAGGGATGGAGACGGCCCAGCCCCGCCTCTGCTTGAACAGGAAAGTCAATCAAGGAAAGAACACAGGTCAGTATGGGGAGGGGGTGATGATGGGGAGGGGGAGGGCCAGTCTCCCCACCTCCTCACATTATGCTAATAGGAACGCAGACACCAGATACCAGTTGCAGAAAGAGAATTCAAGGGATTTGAAGTCACAAAGTGGGAACGTGAACAAATATTGCATCACTCAGTCCCCCACAAGGCGGCTGTCTCACACGGGGAAAGAAAATAATCACGAACAAATTCAGGTCAGTCACATAGTGTTGACTTTCTCAACAGCCCACCAGCTATTCAAAATGTCCCAATGAGAGAATCCCCATAACCTAGTCATGTCCCTTCTCCCCAACACCTCCCTCACTTCAAGCCTCCAGGGCCTCACCTGTCCAGAAAGACACATCAGAACCCTGGGCACTGTCACTGCCTGGGGTAGAACAAAACAGGATGCGGTCAGAGCCCAGAGGAGATGAGACTAAAGGAGGAACTATGGGGAGGGTGAGCTCCCCCATGGGCTCCGTCTACACTATCCCAAGGGTCTCAAGGATCAACCCCCTAACCCAAACTTACTTGCAGTCTGAGCATAGCTCCCTCTTTGTTCACCTGTGGGAAGAAAACAGAGAGAAGGCTGAGCCATGAGATCCTAGAGGAACCCTCTAGTCCTGGACAACAGGGAAGTTTCCAGAACCATGACTGAAGACCCAGGGCAGGATCGGGAAACATGAAGAAAGGAGACATGGGGGGACTGGACCTACTGCCCTCCTAGAGGTCTGTCCTCAGCAGGGACCTTCAACTGCTGGGAATCAGGTCCCCAGCACTAGAATTATCAAGGTGACAAAAAATTATCACAAGTGCTTTACAAAAGAGTGTTAGCAATCAGCTCCAGATTGGCAAACACGTGTAGGGATGGTACTTCCCATTGACGAGGCAGGGCAAGTTCTACCTGGGGCTTGAAACCCCCCAGTGGGACAAGAAAGCTCAGATCTCCCACTCCCTTCCCTACCTGAGCGTTTCTTCCTCCACATCACAGCTCCAGCCACCACAGCTCCAGTGACCACAGCTCCAAGGAGAACCAGGCCAACAATGTTGCCCATGATGGGGATGGTGGATTGAGGAGGCAGCTCTGGGAAGGGAAGGGAAGGTGAGGGGCTCTGACCTCAGGCTTGAGGCCTGGCCTTGCTGAAGGTGTTCAGAAGGGCTGCTGAGAAAAGGCATCCCCCATTGTCCCCCTCATTACTCCATCTCAGGGTGACGGGCTCAGGCTGCACATGGGCCCGTGCTGCACATGGCACTTGTATCTCTGCTCCTCTCCAGAAGGCACAACCACAGCTGCCCACTTCTGGAAGGTCCCGTCCCCTGCAGGCCTGGTCTCCACAAGCTCTGTTTCCTGGGTCAGGTCCTCCCCATCACGCTGCCAGAACAGGGTGATCTCCCCAGGATAGAAGCCCAGGGCCCAGCACCTCAGGGTGACTTCTCAGTCAGAGATGGGGTGGTGGGTCACATGAGTCTTTGGGGGATCTGAGGAGGAAGAATCAGAAAATTCACACTTTCAGTCACATCCAGGGGCCACTGAAGCAGCACTCATGTGACCATCCTGAGAATGGATAGGATGATTGGTTTGGAAAGAGGAGGCACAAAACACAGACACTAGTTTGGACTTGGGGATCTGGGATAATCTCCTATTCCTTGGAAAGTTCTAGACTCAAGGTGAGAGCCCAGATCTGTAAAGAAGAGAACACAGACTTCTGGTCTTGACCTGGGTGGAGGCTGAGCGACTCAGAAAAGCTGGAGTTCACAACATGGCTGCCAGAGTCAAAGGGAACCAGTGATTGGCGATTTCAGGGATGGTCTTCCCTTCTATTCCTGAAGAAAATCGATTCCTTAACTGTCCTTTACAGAAGGGCAGGCCCTCTGGACGAGTCACTAGTACACAATACGAAAACCTGGGTGGATTCCTCCCTCTCCCGATGGGTGGTATTCTGACAGTGAACCCATTTTCCTCCCCTCTCTGTGGGATGCCAGCCACAGCCGGAGGGAGATCTGGAGGTCCCGCGGCCCCTCGTATCTGCCCGCTGCAGCGTCTCCTTCCCGTTCTCCAGGTATCTGCGGAGCTCCTCCACGCACTCGCCCTCCAGGTAGCTCCTCTAGTCCTCCGCCTCACCGGCCGCCTCCCACTTGCGCCGGGTGATCTGAGCCGCCGTGTCCGCCGCGGTCCAGGAGCGCAGGTCCTCGTTCAGGGCGAGGTAATCGGCTCCGTCGTAGGCGAACTGTTCATACCCGCGGAGGAGGCGCCCGGCCGGCCCCATGTCGCAGCCAGACATCCACTGGAGGGTGTGAGACCCTGGCCCCGCCCCCGATGTCAGCCCCGCCCACTTGGACCCGCCCCCGACCCGACCCGCAGGGATTAAACCTAAACTGAAAATGAAACCGCGGAAAAGTTCCCGCCCGCTCCTTCCGAGTCGGGGGGCCGGGCGGGTCCCCCAGTCTCGGGGTGAATCTCGGACCCGGAGACTCACGGAGACCCCGGCCCGTCCGTGGGGGTGGGGGTCGTGACCTGGACCCGGGCCCGCGTCCCTCACCGGCCTCGCTCTGGTTGTAGTAGCCGCGCAGGGTGTTCAGGCCCACTCGGAAACTCTGTGCGTAGCCCCTGACGCGCCGCGTCTCTTCCTCCCAATACTCCGGCCCCTCCTGCTCCATCCACGGCGCCCGCGGCTCCATCCCCGGACTCGCGGCGTCGCTGTCGAACCGCACGAACTGCGTGTCGTCCACGTAGCCGACGGCGATGAAGCGGGGCTCCCCGCGGCCGGGCCGGGACACGGCGGTGTGGAAATAGCTCAGGGAGTGGGGGCCTGGGGGCGGGAGGGGGGATGAGACCCGGCCCGACCCTCCTCCCGGCGCGGGTCCCCGGGTCCGAGGGTGATGGGGCCGGGAGGGGGGAGGGGCGAGGGGGTCGTCAGACGGAAAAGGCGGGGAATCGGGGTGGGAAGGGGGGGCGGGGCCGAGGTGGGCGGTCTGGGCAGGTGTCCGCGAATACGCGGCATCCCCGGGGGTCCTGCGTCCCCGCCGCGGGGTCCCCTCGCTCCGCCGCCCGCCGAGGCCGTTTCCTCCCGACCCCACACTCACCCGCCCAGGTCTCGGTCAGGGTCAGGGCCCCCGAGACCAGCAGAAGGAAGGTTCCAGGCGCCCTGACCCGCATTCTCGGAGTCTGAGGAGAATCTGAGTTCCGGATGGTGGTGGAGACTTTATAACCAGCAACCGCGGAGACGCTGATTGGCTTCTGTAGAAACCGGGCAATGGGAATGAGAACTGGGCCCGCGTCATGAGTCTCCAGGCAGGAGGACCTGACAGGTTGTGAGAAGGAGAAGTTTAATTCAGAGAGCTTCCTCGCCCCAGACACCACCCTCGGGCTGAGACCCTGAGAGCCACGTCTGGAGACCTGGGACTTTGCCCCGACCCCTCTCCTCCTGCACCGAGAGCTCTTGGTCACGCTGTCTCCCTGAGTCCTGGCCAAGGTGCTGCCTGAGTCTGCGATTCTCAAACACTTTGGCTTCAGGATATCTATACAGTCTTACAAGTTAGTGAGGACCCCAAGGATAATTTTGCTTAGGTTGGTTGTATCTATCAATATTTACCATACTAAGAATAAAAGGTTTTATATATTTTTATTAATTTTTTAGAATAATTTTTATAACCCACTGCAAGTTAATAGAAATAATGTTTTTCTGAAAAATAACTATTTCCCAACATAAACAAGGCAGTGAGAAGAGTGGATCTTTTTACATTTTACATTTTTGCAAGTCTCTTTCTTGTCTGTCTCATTAGAAGACCACTGGGTTTTCATATTTGCTCTGCATTTAATCTGTTATTTTGGTTGAAGTATATGAAAAACAATATGGCCTCACACAAATATGTAGGAATAGTATTTTTAATAACCTTTTCAGATAATTATGGATATTCAACTTTGTTACTAAAGTAAAACTATACGTGTAGTAGTATCTCAATGGTTATTTGCAACGTGAAACCTGAAACTATAGTATTGAATATTTCCTATTCTGTTACATTAAAATCCACAGACCTATTTTGCATATTGAATGGCTTTTGTAGTAATGTATGATTTTTTAAAGTAATGTGTTGTTTCACTAAGTTATATAGATCTTCCTGTGTTGATGCATTTAACTACAAATTATCAAAATATCACGTTTGTTAATGTTACCACAGATCTCAACAGGGAAGTTTGTCAGTACTGGGAAGCTGTCAAGCTTGTGTGGTGGTACACAAGTTTTCCAAAATTCTGGTTTTCTCTTAAGAGCTTATATTTTATCAACGCAATAAGTACTGTCAGTTTATTTTCTTGAAAGGAGAAGCTCACGGTCATTTTGAGAAAGTATGTGCCAATTAACCAAGTCTAATCATAGTTTCTGTCATTCATTCTTTCAATGTATGACATTCTTTCAAAGTAAAACTGGTATTCCGTAAAAAAGAGGCTAGCTCAGCTCAAACAAATTATTTTCCTTGGGACATAGTACTTGCAAATGTAGCAGAAATGCTTTGTGTGTACTTCCCACATCATCAAATAAGATATTCTTAAAATGTGGATTTAAGGATAATGATTTGGTCAAGATAATAATTTCTAACACTTCAACCTGGATGTTTTAAAGTAAGTTTGTTTTTTTTTTTTTTTGCAAGTAAGTGGTGGTGAAGATAACTGCCATTGCAGTTTGGTACCATAGCCTCCATTCTTAGTAAGTGTCACCTCAGGGCAAATGTCAACATAGTGAAAAGACAAATGATGTCTAGTAATACTATGAAAACAATTTTGACCTCATGGATCCTGTGGAAGGGTCTCAGTGACTTCATTTGTGCCACAGACCACAGTTTGAGAATAGCTGTTCTGAATAAACCAGGGAGAATCTCCCAACTGGTCCCCACTTTTGCCCCTTCTTCATTTCCCAGAATCCTTTGCCCCGAGTTTGGATTTTCTGCCTCCCAAAACTTAGCTTTTAGCATTGCCCCTGGTCTCCTCTAGAAGAGAACTCACCCCCTAGATATTTGATGCCAGATAGTGTCCTCACTCAGTGTGAGTCTGGGAAGGAAGGCAGAGGGACAGGAGTTTCCCTTTGGAACTGGGAACAGTGTGTGCCTAAATGCACTAGACCCTTTTGGTTTTGTTATACACCAGCTGAATATGTATTTATATCTCATAACCTATTTTGGTTTTGTTATACACCAGCTGAATATGTATTCATATCTCAGAAATCTGATATATCTCTAAGAGAAATAATATTGGCCCTTTCATTTTATGTGGGTTTAATGCATCTGAGTTGAGGCCCACAAAGTATGAAGAGCAGTACTGTCCAATAGAACGTTCTGTAATGAAGAAATTGTTCTATATCTGCACTGTCCAATATGGAAGCCACTAGCTACATGTGGCTATTGAGCACTTGAAATATGGCTACTGTGCTGAGCAGTTGAATTTTTAATTTTATTTACTTTACATATAATAACCATATGTGGCGAGTAGCCACCTTATCGGACAGTACATATCTAGAATGTTCTTAGTTTTCAGCATCCTCCCCTGAAAAAGATACTGCGTGACTCATAGGTTGATGTATAGTAAAATTATCTTCATAGGAGGGTCATGGATTTGTCCATGTGGGTCATAGACATACCCTTAAAATACACCCTGTCCAAGAAGTTTAATTAATATGTATTTTGACAACTAGAGTGTGCAGACATTAACCAAAACGTGATTTTTCAACTTAAGGTCATAAGTGTTCAAAAATGCCCATCACTGGAGATAATCCTCATGTATATTACGCTGGGACTCTTGGCGTTGTTTCCATTAACCTGGTAACCATAAGTAGGGACATAAGTCTTCACTTAGCCCAAGAGAAAGCACTTATTGAACACAATGTGTATCAAATACCTTGTAAGCCCTGTGGATATACTTGTAAAATCATAAAGCGGAAGATGTAAACCTTAGAATTCCACCTCCTTAGAATTCTTTACCAATTTGCTCCTTCCCATACTTTCCCCCAAAGGCCAAACAGTTCTGTTTCCCTTCACTCTTGGACCCCTTTCCTAGATGAAAATATTCATGAAAGTTTTACAATTGTGGAATGAAGAATTAATAAGCATGACCCAAAGATAAAAAATCATAAGGAACAAATAAAACTTGTCTATGTCAACCACACACTCAGAAAGATACAAACACATGCCCATAATCAAAACTCAAAGACACATAAAAATCTATCAGCTTGGCAAAGGTGAGAATAAATGATGAGAGTATTGGTGTTTTGTATTCTTTTATGAGATGGTCAGTCAAGTGCAGCCACAAGAGGAGAGAGAGGAAAGGCTCAGGAAATAAGGAAGTTTGTTATACTCACAAGTCCTAGAGACAGGAGGCACACCACTCCACACGGGGCACATGGGGGAGCACTCAGGGCGTCAGGAGGCAGAAGACAGGAGGGGCAGGGGCAACGCTTAGACCACGGCCCTTATTGGGTCCTCTTAGGAAAGCCAAGGCAGGGCAGGGTAAATAGATTAGGATTGGCTAATAATAATTGATTGTAAATAATTTCAGCAGGCTTTGGGCTGTCGGGGTGGTCTTTAGTTGTCTGGTACCTGGCCCTGGGATGATTAAGGCAGAGAAATATTGCCCCTTGGGGTACATGGCCAGATACGGGAGGTAGGGCTCTGGATTCGTTAGTTTGCATATCAAAGGCATGCTCCTGGCTGGGGTTTAGCCCTGGGAAGGGCAGTTTCTCCTCAGCTAGAAGGTTTTTAAAGATGTCGAAACATAGTTATTATATAAAATATATATTCAAAAAAATATATAATTGGCCACAGGGTGGGGAAAATATACTGTCATAAGAGTTGATGGAATTGAAAACCGGTACTAAATTTCTAAACGACATTTTTACAAATGTCTCGACAGTTTAAATAGGTTTGCATTTTGACAAAACTATTTGTCTTGTAGGAATTTGTCCCCAGATAATCACATATGTTCTCAAAAATATGGTCATTGAATAGTGATTTATACAAGCAAAAGAATAGAAGCAATCTAAATGTTATAATCAATATAATGGGGTTGCTATGATTGGTGGAACACTTAATACATGTCAGGCAATTCTGTGTGTTTTACATAAAGAGTCGTATGTAATTCTCAAATCCACAAGTTAGCTAATATTTGATCCCTTTGTATAGACTCCAATGGAAGACTCAGAAGGGTTTAGAGGTGGTGGAGCTGGGGTTGAACCCAGGAGATTTTCTTTCAGAGCCTGTTGACTTGTCTTTCATTGGTTTCCTGTCCATCAGGTAGGCAGGTCTGACTGTGCACCCCATGCAAGTGAATTGTTTCAATGTTCCAGAATGTTCTATGACAGGAGGATACCAGGGTCAGAGTTCAGAAGGACATCAAGGGACGGTGTGACTTAACTGCCCAAACCACACTAAAGTCTATTCATCCAGTGTGTATTTCAAGGCCTCCAGTGAATCAGGAGATCTGCTACACCCAGAAGGTGCAATGAAGAGTGAAAGTACATTCATGCCTCTTTGGAGCTTGCACTGTTATAAAGGAGATTAACATTTAGCAAAAGTTACAAAGATAAATGTAAAATCTCTATTGAGCTAGGTGCTGTGAGGAAAAAATTCATGATATCATGAAAGCAGATAACCAGGATATCTAACAGGTCGCCTACCACTATTATTAGTAATATGTAAAAGATGTAAGAAAAGATATGGCACTTATGAAAAAAAAACAACATTACATACAATCAGAGAATAAGAAAGACCCTTGGAAATTAAAAATATGATTATAGAAATGAATAGTCCATAGATGAATTGGAATATTAAGGTCATACCCCTAGCAAATAGTTAGTACAAATGGAAAAGTGATGGCAAACAGTAGAAAAGAATATTAGGCTGTTAATCAAAGAATTCCAACAACCTAATAATACAAATTTCAAAAAGAAGTGAGAGAGTTCCAGTCCAAGATGGTGATATAGGAGGATCCTGAACTTGCCTCCTCCCATGGACACAGTGAATATACAGCCACACATGGAACAATTCCCTCTGAAAAAAATCCGGAAACTAGTTGAGCAACTCATACACATCAGTTAAGTGAGCAAATACCCACATTGATATGGGCATGAAAGGCTGAGACACACTCTTGCCATAAACCCCACCCCCAGAACAGCAACATACAATCAGGAGGAAACACAACTCCCAGCTTCTCCCTGAGGA